GACTTCGGGCCACAAGACCCAAAGGAAGAAGTAAGCCAATAACTTTTCCATGTTGATTTTGAGTGTCATTTTTACTTTTCGTCATTTTCAAATATTCTAGTGTCCCTTCCCCCTCCCTCTCACCCCCCAGCCCCAACGCCTTCTCATCCCTCCCTCCCCTCACCCGTACGTTTTCCCTCCCGCTGCCCTGGCCTTCCACTTCCATCTATACTTTACTGTGTTACTGTGATCTTTTCAACGTTAAATCTGAAAATTTTCGCTAACAACTAACGCTTCAGTCACTACGGGCTGCTGCACGTACTCCTCCGTATATCGAGCCACCTCGCAGACGTTTTAGAGGTGGAGTGTATTGTCTTTTCTTCTGCCTGCTCATTGTCTCTATGACGATCTCTTAGACATCCTGGAGATGGAGACAAACATAGAAGCTCTTCTCGAGACGGTGCTCAGTCAATGCGAGAAGTGATATAGGGTGTAGGGCTGCTGAGGTATGGCTGGCCGAGAGAGGGCTAACAACTGCTCAGCTACAGTGCTCATTGTTCTAGAAAGTTTGAGATAAACCGCAGTGAGTACACAAATGATGATTCCAAATATGAAAGTTTATGGAATTTGTCTCGGCGTAGGCATAGGAATTTGAAGGTTGCATTATAAAAATCTTATAAATATCTAAAAGGCATCTAAATATAGACGTCTACTGATAGACGTCTAATAGATGCCTCCATAGAGACAATCAAGACGGTCTAATAGACGTCTACCAAAGACGTCTTTTAGACAACTTGCCGTCTAGCAGTAGATGTCTATTAAACATCTAATAGACGTCTATTTTCTCTTAGGGATTCCATAGCATTGTGACCTGAGGCAACGCATTATATACTTTCCGAAACGATTCTTGCATAGCAAAGTTTTATAAAACTAGCAAATCTGCAGTGAAGAGCACTGAGCGTCGATTTGAACGGCCAGTTCGCACTCTGTCCGGGCGGCAACTTCCGTGACTCGTGCATGGATCCCTCCCCCCTCCCTCAGCCTCTACTTATTTTTAGGATTTTTATGATTCAAGATATGAAAATATTTTTGGGCGTACAATAAAAAAACACAAGTTTAATCCTAGTGTTCACTTTAACCTACCCGCTCGGCCGTTCCGTTTCCGAAACGACCTGAAGTAACAACACTCGTTTTTCGTGCTATGATTGGAGCTAAAACGACTAGTGGACTTTATAGTGCAATGTTGAAGGATTTCAAAACGCATTAGTATTTTTAGCTGTAAATCTTCGCCCTAAAAACTCAAAAGCCCATCTAAAAGCTCTTCTTCCCAAATTTTGAAGTGAATGGCGTGACATTTTGAAAACTACCTCCCTTTTTGACCTGGACCGACCACTTTAAAATTTATCAAAAAATGGAATCAGCGCACCCGGAAACCCCTCATCACCTACCGACCGATATCGTACATGCAACGCACACAGTATCTATTATGATTTATGTCCACTAATTTTGGATTCTAGCCCAAAGTGAAACACCGTCGTCGCCCGCCTCCTGAGACGGCGATCTCAGCGCTGCTGCACGAGATACTCTACTGGATGTGTCACCCCTCCACCTCCGGTCAGTCGAGGCTCACCAAGCTACTCAACAAGTTTTTTCAATACAAGGTACTCTCACTCTCCAGGGGGGCACGACTCCTATAAGGGCTTGTCTACGCGTCACGGACTGACGTTTGGGGGTGCTTTTGTCTTCCTTTTTTTAAATCTCGCCTGAACTGAAGGTGCGGCCACTTCCGAAGTTCATCCCAATTGCATCAGGCCGGAAAAAAGTAGCTCTCGCTGACCCGAAATGTATAGGAATTTTCCTATTTGGGAAGATGCGTATGGGAAGAGTACGAAGTGTATAGATAAATCTCCAGAAATGTATGGGAAAATTCCGATGCGTGTCTGGTAGGCATATTTTCCTTAATATGTGTAGGAAATTTACTTGATGATGACAATTTTCCTATACAATGTTCGGAATTTAAAAAACGGGTAAAGATATACACATCTTTCTACCTTACACATCTTGGTCTGCGCGGTCATTTTATGAGCTTATATCTGCCGCCTGACGCCACACCACACAGGGTTAGACACATTTAGAGCCTATATTGGTCTATTTAGCAGTTTAAACTCTGATACTCGAATTTCAAGTAAGGGCAGGAAGTAAAATTCAAAACTCGACATCAAAACATCTAGGAGTAAATCCCCAAAGGCGTGGGCTAGCCCCGGCAGCCCCGGCAGCCCCGGCACCGCGCCGACACCTGGCTGACCCTCTGGGAATGGCCCAGCGAGGGGCTGCGCGCGGCTCTGGGATGACCCGGGGTTGGTGGGGCATGCCTCCCCACAAGTCCCCGTGGTCTAGAGCTCTGGACAACTTATCTTGAGACACAGATTTCAGTGTCCGCGCCAAAAGTTCAGGCCTACCCGAGTCGAGCTTCAGCCCGAGAGCGCACCATGTGGCCCGGCCCGGCCTGGCCCGACCTGCCTGGGCGGCGGGGGCGGGCTATTGTCTGCTAGGATGGGGCTCGGTGCGATTCGTGTCACTCACCCGCTCTAGTGCTCCAGTGGAGTGAGCACATTTTAACTCTTTAGGGAGGACAAATCGTACAAATTAAGCGCCGCAGCTTGGTCGGTCTCTTCGAGACGCGAAAAATGATACCAAATTTGGTCAAATTCGATAATTTTTGGT